TCCTCCCCTTTTCCCCCCCCCTCCCTTCTTCCTCTCCCCTCTCTCTCTCTCTTCTCCTCTCTCTCTCTCTCTGCCCTCTTTCTCTCCTCTCTTTCCCTTCCCCTCTCTCTCTCTTTCTCTCTTTTCTCTTTGGGACAGTGGTGATATCAAACTTGTGCATTGCCACCATACGAGTGGCCGGGACAAACCTGCTCCACTTTCGCTTGCCGTCCTACTTGAGCGGTGCGTGTGCAAAGCAAAAAAAAAGCTTGCGCCTCGACGAGCTGCTGGTGCCGCCGGCGCATCAGGGGATTGAGGTTGTAGCTCGGGTACATCTTGTGGAACTGGCGCAGCATCTGCGGCTCGTTGCGCCGTTCGAGGTGCATCATCTTCTTTACAGTTCCAGAGTGTTTCGGGCAAGAAGCTGCATGTATCTATCTTGTCGCTCCATGTACCTGAGAGCCCGCTCCTGGGCGGGCGTCATCCTCACAGGCTCCACTGGTGGGGCAGCCTGCGGGGGCTTAGGGGGAGGCTCGGGAGTGGCTGGAGCCTTTGGAGCCTGCGGAGCGTGCGAGGGCTCGGGAGCTGGTGCTGCGACCTCCTCGACCGGGACCGTTTTCGGTGGCTTGGGTTTGTTTTTGCTTCCGGGCGGACGCCCTCTTCGCTTTGGGACTGGGGCGGCTGGCGTCTCGGGCACGGGGGCCGGAGCAGGCTCCTCAGCAGGCTCTGGGGTTTCAGTCGCTGGAGGCTCCTGAGGAGTTTCCTCCACCACCAGCTCATTTTCCTCCGCCATTTTACTTCATTAAACATTTAAGTTTCATAGTCGAGGAAAATCGCGAAGGAAACGGAAGTGCCGCGGGTGTTAACCACATTCCCGTCGACGTCGGTGAGCTTGAACCGCAGGGTGCGCAGCGTAATGGGCCCATGCAATCTGACATAATGGCCTTCGTCGGTTCTGGTTTGCATTATGTTCCCAATGCCTTTGTCGATAATCATTTTGGCGACGATGTCCTGACCCAGGGGGCCTTTGATGTCGGCGGCGGTGGCGAGCGTGGAACAGCGGAGGAACAGCTCGCTGTACGGATTCATGGTCACGAAGGTGAAGATTTGGAGGGAGCCCTCGATGAAGGAGGGTCCGAGCAGGTGGTTGATGCTCAGGGGGCGGCTGGGCGTGGCGCCTGCAGGGTAGGAGCCGGAGCCGGGGAAGAGGCTCCGGATTTCATAGTCGTTCAAGATGCGCCTGTTCCCGTCGTAGGCCACTCCGATCTCGTTGGTTTGTTCCACGTAAGTGGCGGAGCCGTAGTTGCTGCTGATCCAGGCGGCCAGGCGCGCGCCGGTGTAGGCGCCCACCGGGAGCACCGCCCAGTTGAGGGTCTGCAGGGCCTCGTCGATCCAGTACATGTAGAAGCCGCGGTCCGTGCTGAGGAAGGCGTCGGCCACCCGGAACTTTAGCGCCGAGAGCCTGGCGCCTGTCTGCAGGTGGATGGTCTCCCCGATGTCAAATTCGAAGCTGCTGTCGTCGCCCGCCACGCGCTTGCGGGAGTCGACGTAGATCGTGGTCATAAGGTGCCTTTTCTTACGGAAGAAACTCCGGGCCGCGGAGGCGTCGGACTCGTTGCTGATCTGCCGGGGGCGGTCGGGGCAAGGCCACCGCGGGTCCACCACGCGCTGCGTGCTGGTGCAGCAGCTCAGATTGTTGCACTCAGCGTCGCAGAGCGGGCCGTTGCCTAGGAGCTTCCCCACCACCTGCGACAGGATCGTCCCCATCGTTTACGAGGAACTTGCGGTCGAAACGCACCCAAAACATGTCCTCTTTCGAGGCCCGCAGATTGACGAACCAGAAGCTGTACTTTTCTCGGGTCGCCTCCTCGTACATGCCGTAGAGCACGTCCTTGGGCAGCATGGCGCTCAGTTCCTCTACCAAAGCGTCCAGCTCCAGCTGGTTCCGCAGGCGGAAGACGCAGTAGAACATGGTGTTCACTCGCACGGCGCTGCTCATGAGCCGCAGCTTTTGCGTCGAAACCCAGGTGCTGATGCAGTAGTGTCGGCCGCGGATGAAGAGCGTGTCCAAGATGCCATCGCCCGTTTTGCGGTGCACGGCCGGGTTATCAGCGTGATCGTCGATCACGATTAGGACCTGGTAGAGCTTCTTCATGCCCAATTGTTTGGACTGTTGGGTGATCTTCTTCTGCTGGGCCAGGATTAGCCTGAGCGCGGCTTCGTCCCAGTCATCCCACCAGCACTGCTCGCGGTCCGTGTTGACCCCCAAGTCTTTCCTTATGTACTCTTTCACGGGCTCCCACTGGGGGTCCATGTCGATGCTGGGGCTCAGGATGTACACGCGCTCAAAGCAGCCCCGGTACTGCTCAAGGATCATCGACACGAGGAGAACGGTCTTCCCAGAAGCGGACGGCGCGCAGAGGATGCCGTTGGAGGGCGTCCTGCAGACCGCCCGGTCTCGCGGCTGCTTGACTTCGTACGTTTGGCTGGGGAAGAGCTTCACCTTTCCCATGTCTTTTAGTCCATACCGCCTTGTAACATTGGTACAGGCACATTTACACTCGCGGCGATCTCCTCGCACAGCCGAGGCGGGATGGAGTATAGTTGGCCCCGGTTCTGGCCGATTCGTTCCTTGCTGCCCATGCGTTGTGCGGTCGCGGCATGGCTACCGTTGTTGAAGGCCTCGCAACGGCTAGCCTTGCAGCACACAGGACGACTGGGGCGCCAGGGCAGGTTGTTCCAGATGCGCGTCGCTTTCCGATAGCGATAACCGTACTTACAATAGGTCACGTCATCGAAGGGCAGGTGTTTCATGAAGCTGCGCGTTTTCAGCAGCCCGCTCCTGGGGTTTTCGATGGCCCACCACCGCGGGCGGAGGTACCCGATGATCTCGATGGTTCGGAGCACCAAGCGGTCGCCCTCCTCCAAGCGACGGGGTCGACGTGTCATCGCTCGAGAGAACTCGGTGCGCACGGGGCTGGCCCAGACGAGGTCGAAGTGTCCGGGCTGGAAGGCCCTGTAATCCCATTCCAGAATGTCCTCGCAGATGGCGGGGTGGCTCTGCGGGTCGGAGTCAAGACTCGGTACCTGCCAACCAATGGCCTCGAAGGCGATGCTCTTCGTGCCGGAGAACAACTCCAGCAGTCTCATGTTTTTCCCAGGGCGACGAGAAAAGCCACATCGTCACGATGACGCCGAACAGTGCGATCAGCGCGCAGAGGCACTCTCCCGAAGCCGCAGGCGTCGCGACTCGTTCAGCGAACGACATTTTTTTATTCGGGATAGAAAAAGAAGCATGAGCGGTAAGCCAGCCCTGGCAGTTGAGCTCGGCGATCTGTCCTTCAACAAGAAGGGAGGGAAGTTCTTCCCTTTGCGCGGCACGGGCGTGCGCGCGCCTGAGTGGTCGTCCGCCGAGTGGCTCAAGATCCTCTGGCACCCGAGCGGGTTCAAGCATCCCGACGCTCGTCGGGTGTCGCTCAGCCTCGAAGCCGACGAGGGCGTCAAAACGCTCTTCCGCGGGGTCGAGGAACACCTCGTCCGCAGCCTGGCGGCGCTGTCGATAAAGGATAGCAGGCTTTTCGGCAAGGTTCTTACGGAAACGGAAGTCAAGGACCGCTTCCTCTCATGCTTGAAGACGAACGCTCGCTGCGAAGCTTTTCTGAAGACCAAGATGGACTGGGATAGGGTGCGGATCTGGGGTCCGAAGGGCGAGAAGCTCGAGGACCCAGGCGACCTCACCGGTCGGGAATGCAAGGTGAGGTGCGAACTGCGACAGGTCTGGCTGATGACGGCGCAATGCGGACTCTTGGTCGAAGTTACCGATCTCATGCTGAAGGAGCCGAGCAGCCAACGGTGTCCGTTTTCGAATCTTGCCTCTGCCTGATTCTGCGCGAAAAAACCAGGATTGGCCCTAAACACCATGCCGCACCCCGATTTTTTCGCATTCTGAAGTCGCTCGGGGACGGTGCGCCCGAACGGCCCTCGACAGCCGGTCGTTTTGCGAGCCGACCACGCACAGGCGAGAGCTCGAATTCGGAGCGTCCTCCGCCTTGGGTTTGAGCACGATTTTGGCCAAGACGGCCTTTCCTGTCAGATCGGTGCCGGCCAGCCACGGAACGTGGTCGGTGAGGGTTTAGGATGGGTCGAACACAGCCACGCGGAATCGCCGGCCATCACGGAACCGCCTCGGTCCCGATCTTCGGGGCGCGTCCTGCCTATGTTTCACCCACCTTGCCGAGCCCGCCGGCCCAAAGCGACACAGCCAGCCTCGAGAAGGCCCGCGCATGGTCCGAAAGGCTTTGCCGGGCCGTTTCACACCCGACTGTGGCGAGAGCGCGATTTCGGCGGATACGTCCCTTAGGCCTCAAGGATTCGTGGCCTCGGGTGTTCAGTGTCAACTCGCGGCGAGCCTGTGGCTGTCGCCGACCTGATCCGTGGGGGTTTAGGACGCAGTCTCACCAGATGCTCGGTGCTGCTCGCCTTTACTCACTGATGCCATTTCTTTTTGATTTGTAGTGGTATTCTAGCTAGGTCCGCCGACTGTTGCAGTAACATTTTGCTAGAGTGCGTTTGCCCGCTTCTTTTTAGATTGGTTCAGGGCACCCGAACCCCTCGACCCTGCAGTAGGCTTGATCGCCACCAGCCTTGCGAACGTTTTGCACTTCCCTAACCCGTAGGGCCCCTTCCCGCGTCCCAGCACTGCTTGAGTTGAAGTTGTGTTTCCCCGCGCCGCGGTTCAACAGGTCTCTGGCAACAACACTTCACGGTAGGCAGCTTGCAACACGCAGCAACATTGAGTGAGCACGGCGATGTTGTAGACGCGGCATCTGTAGGGGCGGGTGGGAAGCAAATTTGGCGTTTCGCTGGAACCTCAGAGTGCTTGCGTGCTTCCTCTTCATCAGCTACGTCATTATGAAGGCGCGCCATTTGGCAAGTGCCAGTTTCCGTGGCTCTTTGCCCAATTGAGAAGGGCTTGCTCACACTGTGATCCGTAGGCATCTCTTGCCAACAGCGCGCTGTCAATGTACAGGTTGCGGAACATGGTGCGTCGTTCCTTTGCCAGTGTCTGTGTGGTGGCGCTCGTGGAGTTCCACGCTTTCGTGGGGATGAAGACGCATGTCAGACGCTACAAGCTGCAGAGCCGCAACGCTGCTTGTGTCGACAGGTTTGTGACAATGGCGCAAAGTGTGCTCAATGTAAACGGGTATGATGCGAACGTCACACGAGTTGCCCTGGAGCTTGCCCAGAGGGAGGCGGAGGCGGAGGCGGAGGCTGCCAAGATGCTTGCCAAGAGGGACGCCGAGGCTGCTCTGGAGGAGGCTGCTACCAAATATAGATTGCTCCAGCTCAAATACTTGTCAGAGAGTTCAAGATTCTGGTTGGAGAAGATGTTCAGGGATTTTGCGGCATTTGCGCAAACAACGCGTCTATCATCCATCCATTACAGCAACAGCGGCATCAACAAGTTTTTGGCGAACAACCCGCTGACGTGGCAGGCTTTTGCTGCCCACGAAAACATCTCGCTGGAGTTCCCTCTCAATGTATCTTTTCCAGAAGTGTCACAATCATTGTTGTATGGTAGGCTGAGCGAGCAAGTGCACGAGCCGCCAGGCTTGGTTGTGCTTCGCTTGTGGAATGATACTGCATACACCGGCGAGGTGTACTTGCTCCGCGACCTGGGTGCTCACTACAGTCGGAAGTTGGGCATTGTCGCTGAGCCACTAGATCTGAGCCGAGCATTGGCTGACATGATGAAGCCAGACCGCCGTCAGTGAGTGTTGCGGGATTGCCAGAGAGCGTTCCTGCTCAGATGAACCAGCCGACGGCAAAAGGCAGCTGTTGAAGGGTAAGTGGACGCTGCGTAACTTGATAGGGTCGCAAGTGTTACCAGGCCGACCACAAAAAAAAGGAAAAGTTATCTGATGCAGTCGCGACGCCTAGGCGATTTCAGGATGAAGCCAGGGCGTTTGAGTCTTTGCGGTACATGTCCTAATGCTCAGACGGAGATGTCATGGATCGCGGCCTCCCTGGCGGCGATCTTGCAGCATTTACCCTAAACCCAAAACCCTAAACCCCAGTATTTGCCATGGATCACCGTCCTTTGTGCTAGTGTCGGGCTGTCGGGTGTGAAGTGGAATGCATGTCTGGGACTTGAGACCGAAGGAGCTGTGTGCACGTTTGCGGAGGTGCATGTAAAGTGAAAGCCAGAAAGTTGGTATATGATTCTCCTAACCCCTTTATGGTAAATTATAGGGGATCCTACCATTAATCCACATTCCAACTTTCTGGAGTTCCCTTTACGCGTATATGTATATGCATGTATGCATGTATCTACATATGCTGTATCCGTGTATGTGTCTCGGGGATCCAAGACGAAGCCCCGGCTTAGAGAACTAGCCGTGTACGTAAATACGCAAGAGCATACGCAGTTATATCAGCATGCAAAGAGCACGCATAAGTGCCCGAACTTCACGTGCTCGCATGCACCCGTAGCAACGCCCCACTTGGACCTACATCTTCTGAGTGCGACCCTAAACTTTTAAACCCTTAGAACTATCTGCATACGCAAGCCTAGACCAGCAGAAAAGCCAACACTGACTTGCTGATGCCTGCATCATCACTGAACTACAAGGCATGAACTATGCAGAATGCACATGAAGACGCATGCACAGGGGCGGTCGGTGCTTTCGTAGGTTGCTCCGAAGTGTTACACAGCTTGAAGGTTGATATGAGGGGGTATCACATTAGCCGGGGAAGGTTAAAGGTGCACTGAGTACCAAGAGGCTCCATAGTAGTCCCTTTTTATAGTTTATATGTAGAATCCTTCAATCCCCCAATAGGAACTACTATGGAGGCTACGGGTACTTATTGCTGCCTTTCGTGCAGCGTTTCAGTTCATGCCTGGGCTTTGGGCTTTTGGTTAAGAGGTTAAATAGTGTCGGCTTGCAGTTCTTGATGTGGGGTTTGATGTGCGAATGTGAAGTATATATAATATTAGTATTTCTTTATTTGTTGATGTATATATATTGCTTGGTTTAGAAATTTCGTATTCACCTGAATGATTCATTTGATTGTTCCAAATGCAAGTACGAATGCAATGTAAATACATAGAACCTACGTACAAAGAGACATCATAAACAACCCCCCGCCCCAGTGATTAGACCTTCTCTCCTGCAATCCCCGACACCTGCAGGCTAAATTAACCTAAGAATCCCTAGAAACCTCAACACTTAAGGGTTTAGGGTTTGGGGGTTTAGGGTTTTGGGGTTTAGGGTTTTTGGTTTAGGGTTTTAAGGTTTAGGGTTAAGGGATGAGGGTTGCCCTAAACCCTAAAGCCTAAACACTCCCTAAACTCTAAACCCAAATTCATAAAACCTAGTGAGGGGGTTTGGGTTGCCCGTGCAGGGCGGCGCCTGGAGCAGCATTGGCCCACAGCAGGGCGAGGCGATCTTTGCGCAAAGCGCGGGCACCCAGAGAACCTTGAAACCCTCGACGGTTTCGGGTTTAGGGTTTAGGGTCGGAGCTAAAGTACTAGGACCTACCTAGAGGCTCCAAAGTAGTTCCTTTTTGGGGTTCAGATTTGGAATCCTATAAGGTAATCCCGAAAAGGATCTAATTACTATGGAGCCTCTGGGTAGAGTAGGCGCTTCTTCCATTTTTTGGGGGGTTCAGGTTCCCTTATAAGCCCCTTGAAACCAAAACCGGCACCCTTTCCTAGGCTCCTCTTGGACCCGCATTCCTAAGTCCGAAATTTTCCGCTAAGGAATAAGCCTTCAACCGTTAGACTTCGCGCTCGTTCGCACTACACCTCGCTTCTTCTGCTTCCCAGGTCATCGCCGTCTTCATCATCTTCAAAGCGCACAACCTCAGATGCTTGGAAAGGGATTTTAAGGCTTTCGCCAGGTTTCTTGAGTGGAGTTTGAGCCGAACCTTGCAGTGCATAGGAGCTTGAGCTTGGGAGCGCTTGTGGGCGTAGTGACCTTGTGGTGACCTTGTGGTGACCCTGTAGTGACCAGGCCGGATTCCAGTCTTTGAGCGTGCGGGCCCAAGAGTTCTGGCACGCCTGCGGTGGCTTGATTTAAAAGCTCAGAAAGCTGTGAGAGCGTCTGCATTTCTAGCAAAGCCTCGACGTGACTAAATAGTTTCGGATTTGCCGCCGCCCGCGTCTGCGCACAGGGCCCGACGCCTACTTCTACAGACAGTTTGAGCGCTCAACTGAGAGTGAACTTCAGCTAGTGCGCGTAGCGAGCTCGCAGCCACGTGGAGTAGTGACCGCGTGGTGACCTGTGGTGACCTGTGGTGACCTGTGTAGTGACCCTTTCCGAGGTTCTGATCTTCAGCAGCTAGCGACATTCGTCGCAGCCTCGGAGAATTGAGCCTGAGATGTGCGCGGACTCATGCCCTGCTTGGTGATGTCCACACCCGTGAAGAAAACGCTTCGAGATGTTCGCGCCCAGCTCGAAAACGGCTGCTCCTTGCGCGGGAACACCTTGAGCGAGTCGCAGATCGAGAGTCTGAAGATCAAGGAGCAAGCTTTGCTGAAGCGGCAGCGAGATGAGCGACTTGAGAAAGAGAAGGACCGCAAGTTGCTTCAAAGTATCGCCGAGAGCGAGGGCAACCGCGTGATCCAGCAAGTTGAAGCTTCGAGCGCTGCGTCGACTTTGGAGATTTGCAACAACGGCGACAAGAACCGGGATGTCCTCTTGGACGCCATGTCCACGGGCTTCGCAAAACTTGAGTCCCTCTTCGCACCACGCACTCGAACGCCGCGTCAGGCAAGCGGCGAGGGTGCGAGCCCGGAGCAAAAGCAAGAGCGCGAGGAGCGCAAGAACGAGAAGAAGCGCGAGATGGAGCAGAAGAAGCGTGAGGCGGAGGAGCGCAAGGACAAGAAGAAGAGCGAGATGGAGGAGAGGAAAAAACGCAAGGCGGAGGAGAAAGAGAAGAAGGACGAAGAGCGCAAGGCTAAGAAAGCGAAGATGGAAGATTTGAAGCGTCAGATGGCTGAGGTTATGGGGCCCGAAAGTCAGCTCCAAGAAGAAGCCCACCGCCGACTCCGAGATCAAGGAGGACGAGGCGATCGCCGGGGGAGATGACATGGTCAAGGAGGACATCGCGATCGCTGGGGGAAACGTCGAGCCCCAGGAGACCAAGCAGGCTGAGACGACCGCCGAGGGCAGCGTCGAGCCAAAGGAAGAAGCTTCATCAGTGCTTCCCAGCACGTGGATTCCCAAGCTTGGTATCTTCGGACCGAAGCAGTAGCATCTTTGACACATCAAGCCGAGCAGATGACATCTGAGGACGGAGGCGCTTGGCTTCCTATCTCAGCTTCGGGTGCTTTTTGGTTTTGTCCTGGAAAAGGATCGGCTCGCATTTCGTGTACATACTGCAAGACGGGCCTAGGCATAGGACAGAGCTTATGTCGTCTGACTCCGTTCCCGACGTGTTGGAGTCTTTTCTCTTCGTCGGTTGGTTCAGATCACCGACGATTGCTTTGCGAGCTGGTTATTGTCTTTCGGGCTTCTCGAGAAGCATAAGTCCCGACTCTGCTGTACAGGCAAGGGCCCTCGCTCTCGCAAACTTTTGTTGAAAGACCTGAACACACTGCCGTGTCGAAAGATGCTCCGACTTGGTTGCTTTTCTGCTCGCATCTAGTCATCGTAACAGCACCACATGCCCCTCCCCACCGCCCTGGTGCCCAGGTCGCCTGAACTTTCGACGAATTGAAGCCTGCAGCATTGCACTAGAGCATTTACCCCGATCCTGTTCGACATCTATCAGTTCAGGCTGCCCCCAGCTCTCGCTTGAGTTCTACCGCTGGTAATTTGTTTCTGCGGGTACTTGATCTCGTGACGTTTCGGTCAGGTCTCCTTGGCTTCAGCTTCGACGAGAGCGGGAGGTGCATTCCCGAAGGCAGCATTAGGCCGATGAGCTTGTTCTCACACTTGATGTGATGCGGTTGCCCTCTCAAGCATTTTGCTGCGTATGACCTGTCGTCCATTCAACTCGGACACAGGGTAGTAGGATTGGGGGAAGAACGAGTGAGTTCATTCGCTTCGCTGGATCTAGGATGTGATCGGACAGGAATAAAAATCCTTATTTCTGAATTCACGATCCATGGCTGACCACGCTCCCTTGAGAGTGCGTGCCGTGCCGCTCCGGCGCAATGAGTCATACTTCTTGAGGCAGGTGGCAATCGACAGGCCGGGAGGCACCGTTCAGCTCGACGACCTGAGGGCCCTCAGACACGAGTTAGATGAGCACCTTCGCATGCAGCTGTACTTCACGGTCAAGATGAAGTTCCAGCTTGAAGCTATTTTGCCAGATGCTGATCTGGACGCTGATGGGAACGTGGTGGCCCTCGAATCGCGTGAGAGCTACTTGCTGTCACCTGCTCCTTGGGTGGTCGCACCGGATGCTGACATCGAGAGGCGGCTCACCAGCATCGTGGAGACTGCGCGGGAGAAGGTGGAGCAACACATGGAGGCTGCAGCCCTGCGTGGGAGTGGTGATCTCATCGGAGGGATCCGTCAGGTCTACATCCTCGTCTCTCCCGGCGCCGAGATGGCTCGCCTTCCTCCTGCGCCTGCTGTGGGGAACCAGCCTGTTGGCACCTTTGTGAGGCTTCCTCCGGAGTTGGAGCGCAAGAAGTGCTTTTGGAATCCACAGACCACAGACCACAGCTGCTTCGCGTGGTGCATTAGGGCGGCCTTGCTTGGTGTGGAGAATCTTGACCGCGTAAAGCGACGGTGCCTGGCCCGTCTTACCGACTCCATGCTCTTCCAGGAAGGGTACGCGCCGGTCCATGGGCAACACAAAAAGCATCGAGCCGAGGTGGTACCGTGCAACTTCGGGTTCGACTTCTCCTGCTTGCCAGCTGGGGATAGGGGAGTGACCTGGAGCGACGTAGAGGAGTTCGAGCGCATCAATGGGTACCGTCTTCGTATCTTCGTGTGGGAGTGGCGTAAGGTGGAGTGGCGACAGCAGACCGTCTACGAGACCGTCTTTGAGAGGGTGATTGTCAGGGAGCCCAAGCTGATGAACCATCCCTTCGAGAAGGAGATCCATCTCCTTCGTCATGAGAATCACTTCTTCTACATCTGGAACTTCAATGCCTTCATGAGCAACCAAGGCACACGCTTGCAGGGCACGCAGCGGACTCACCACCACACCCTGCATGTGTGCCCCTGCTGCCGAGCAGGGTTCCAAAAAGAAGAGAACCTGGAGCTTCACCGCCAGACACCTTGCAATTTCGACCCCTCCAAGCGGGGGTCGACGCTGAGGATGCCGAAGACGCTGGAGGACGGGAGTTTCGAGGAGGTGGTGTTCTACAATCCTGGTGCCTCCGCAGAGCTCGCTCCCTTGGTGATGTACGCCGACCTCGAGGTTGAGTCACAGCCGGCGCCTACAGAGCAAGTTGCCCGGCACACAGTCTGCCTGCAGGAGAATGTGCTCTCAGCTGCCTATGCGGCGGTGGGACGTAACGGTTACGTGCCGAAGAAGCGAGCGTTTCTGACGACCCGGCGGGAGGTTGGAGAGCACCGTTTCGCAGCTGTGGAGCGCATGCTGACGGAGATGCGACGAGAGGGGGAGCGATACTTGCTGTGGAAGAAGCGCACAAACGTTCCACCCCGTCTTACTGCGGAGGAACAGCGGACCTTCGACGAGGCTGATCACTGCTCCACGTGCAAGATCAAGTTTGAGATTGACCATGAGCAGCGACAGAAAGTGTGTCATCATGAACATGGTACGGGCCGCTTCCTAGCGGCGATATGCAAGCGTTGCAATGGGAAGATAGTGCAACCAAGAACGATTCCGGTGATGCTGCATAACGGCGGGTGTTACGACTTTCGTTTCATCCTGCGGTGCTTGGCGTGGATGCGACGGAGAAGCCAAGACGAAGCGAAAGCGAACTTGCAGAACCTTGAGCAGCTCGCCGACGATGACCTCTACGACTACCTCGAGAGCTTCAGTGATGACGAGTCCGAGGACGAGGATGCTATTCCGATGGAGCAGGTGGAGGAGGCGATGGTGGACAAACCGTGGCACAAGCTCAAACTGTCAGTGTTGTTCAAGACCGGAGAGAAGATGCTATCCTTCCGCATCGGGTGCCTTTGCTTTATCGACACTATGAACTTCTACAAGGCCAGTTTGGGTTCTCTGATGGACGATCTGAAAAAGACGAACCCAGACAACCCTTCCCAAGTCTTTCGTCTGATGAGTGAGATTCATCCAGAGCTTCAGGAGGCTGCCTTGACAGAAGAGCGGTGTCGTAGGTTGCATCGGTACTTCGCGCCGGAGCGGAGCTTCGAGGAGATCGACAAGGAGCAGTTCTCGAGATGGACCTGGGAGCTTTTGCTTCGGAAACTCCCTATGCCATTTGAGTGGATGAACGGACCGGAAATCTGGCAGCTCCCACCCGTGTGGCACATTGATGCTTACAGGTCGTCATTGAACGGTGACTCGGAGGAGGACCTTCGCAACAAGCACCGCCTGCTCCGCGAGACGTGCGAAGTCTTGGGGTTCGAGGACTTCAGACGCGTTCACAACACCTACCTCTTTATGGATCTGTCCCTTGCGGACGTCATAGAGACGTTCCGAACGGTGTTCCACGCGCGCTTCGGTCTTGACCCAGCGCAGTTCGTCTCGCTCCCTTCGGCGGCCTACGAGGCCATGCTTCGTGGCTGCCTGACGTGCAAGCGCGTGCGACGAGTGACCAGCCCTGCCATCTACGAGTGCCTGCGCGATGTCATGATGGGCGGGCTCTCGGCCATCTTCACCCCTCATCGTCGTGCAAACTCCCCGGAGTTGGGTGATCACTACGACCCCGAGAGGCCACATAGTTACCTGTTGACCCTGGACGTCTCCTCGATGTACCCGGCAATCATGTGCGAACCCATGCCGGTTGATGGGGGCATGTTTGTGCACTTGCCTGACAGCAGGCTGGAACGTATCAAGTGGGCATACAAGACCTTGAGCGGAATCGACTACATGGGAAGCAAGGAGAAGGAGAGCTTCCTCTTTGTCGTTGATTATTCCTTCCCGTTGGAGAAGCATGATCAAATCGACTGGCCTCCACCATGCCGCATGACTGTTTCAAAAGACCAGCTTTCCTCATTCACCCACGAGCTCATGGCGAAGAACGGGCTACAGTGCAGCAAGGTTCCAAAATTAGTCCCCTTCTTAGGGGCCCACAAGGAAGAAGGGGTGGATGGAAAACGTTTGGCCTTTCTTGTGTCCGTCTTGGGTGCCCGACTCGACAAGGTCCATCGCGTCATCAAATTCAGATGCGAACCTTTTCTCGCCAGTTGGATCAAGAGCTGTTATAGTGATCGCTTGGAGCTGAAACGACAGGGTCGAGGGGTCGAGGCCGAAATGCTCAAATTGGTCATGAATTCCATGTATGGGAAGCTGGTGCAGCGTTGCGAGCAGTGCCGCTGCAGCAAGGTCTTCACCGACGGGGCCAAGTTTGTTCGCGCTGCCAACGGCCACCGCATGTGCGACTTGGACTGGTTCGGGGAGGATGAAGACTTCATGGGCGTGGTGCAGGACCTTGGCAGGGTCGTCGTCCAGAAGAGCTTGGTTCAGACTGGGCATCGGGTTTTGGAACTCTCCAGACTCATGATGATGAAGTACCATTATCTCGGAGTCAAGAAGCTGTTCCCACAGGCACTGCCCATGTCGACTGACACCGACTCTGCCGCGTACTACATCGAGTGCGCTGAGGATCCTATGCATGCCATGGCTGCTGCTAACGAGACAGGTGGCTTCCCCTGCTACTTCGACTTGGCCAAGGACCTGGTGGGGAAGAAGGACGCAGCCGTGTCGTTGCAGCACCTGACGCCACGGCAACAGGAAATCGCCTTCGCCAGGGCTGGTGAGCTCGGGGGCTTTGGGATGGAATATCTGCCGGTCAGGATCGTTGAGCAGGTCGGTCTTCGCGCCAAGTTGTACTCGATCCTGTTCTCGGATCCGCTCAAGGGAAAGCGGAGCAAGCAGCGGGCCAAAGGTGTGATGAAAAGGGTCATGCCCGGGCACGAGGACTACGTGGAATGCATGAACACCGGCTACGAAAGCTCTGTGGAGTTCACTCAGATGGTCTCCCATCACTTCCACATGGCAGTGGAGCGGCGGCGGAAGAAAGCTCTTTCCCCCTTCAACGACAAGGTCTACCAACTGGACTCCGAAAGTGCTCGTCCCTTAGGACATTGGCGTAACAGTCAATGCCTCACTGCCTTAGTTCATGCCTTGGATCCTGCTGGGAAGCCGTTCCAGCTCATTATGTTGTATTTGCAAGGTCGGGCAGACTTTGAGCCCGTGCATGCGTAGCTGCGTAGCTTCTTCCGCGGTCAGGCTCGCTTGCCTCCTTCCGCGCTGCTGTGTTCCTTTTGCACAGACAACACAGCTTTTAACCCGCTTCGCAAAAAAATGCGATGAGCGGTACAGACGGTACAGTGGCCACAGCTCCGTTCCTGTTGTTGGCTTGGACAATGGGAGGTGGCAGACGGCACCGAACCAGCTGCAGTACGGCTAGCTGATGCAAAACCTGCCTGCTTGCTCCTTTCTTGTTCGCACGGATGTTTTCATGGAAGTGGTGCTGGACCTGGTGCAAGACGTACTTCCCTAGCTGCTCGGAGGTTCCGCGCTTCTCTGGAGTCTAATGCCGGTCTCCCTTCTGCCACCGCCTTGCGCAGGTCGCGCCTCACCATCTTGCTTCCAGTCCATCCCTGCAGCGTGAAGAGAGGTCCCATGTCAGTGTATTCGATGTGCGAGATGACGTAGGTTTGTTCGCTCCAGGCTGTTTCAGTGACCCTGTAGGCTCCCCGACCCTCCCTAGGTTTTACCCGAACCCGAACCCGATCGCCCACAGCCAGCTGCTCGCGAGGTGGTGCAGCTCGCTTGGCCTGGGCGATCATCGTCTGCCTGGCACGCTCTGCTTTCGCGGGATCTGTGTAAGCTTGGTTTGGAGTCACTCCCGTGCCAGCGTGTGCCCTGTTGTTGTACTGTGCCAGGACATCGGGAAGCAACTGGTACCACCTGTTCCTGGCAGCCAGGCCTGCTGAGATCCTGCGAACAAGTGCTTCCTTGAGAGTCCTGATTGCCCGCTCGACAAAGTAGGCGTGTCCTCTTGATACCACCTTGTCGATGTCAAAATAATCGAGTTTCTGCTTGAACTCAGCCTTGAATTCTGTACCATCGTCTGTGTAGACGTAGGAAGGGATTCCCAAGTCTCGGATTATTTGTCGCCAGGCTGTCGCTGCAGCTGGAGCGGTCTTGGAAGCTAGGGGTACTGCGGAGGCTTTTTTGGTGAAGGTGTCGACCGCCACCATCATGTAACGGTAGGGCGTCGAGGAGAAGGCTTTGGCTCAAGCACGATCTCCACGCGATCAAAGCTGGGTGTCGTAGGGTAGGACGGCTGCCAACAGTGCTTGCCGTTTAGAAAAAGCTGTGCTCCAGTGATGGCTCCGTCGTCCGGTGGCATGGCGCGCGACTACTACATGCACAAGTTGAAGTACATACTCGACACGACCCCTGAACTTTCCCTACCCAAAGTTCCAGAGAAATCACATGTTCCATACTTCGCCGTTTGGGTTGACGGTCGAAAGTTGCGGTTTCCCTTCGAGAAGGGCAACCTCTCTGGTACTACGCCTTTGTGGAGAATCCATGCCATTTTGGCACAACAGAAACATGAAGCAATGAGGGAAGTCCTGCGCCTTCGGGTGTTGGATGGCACACATGTTTCGAGTGAAATTGCACATGCTGTTCATGTCCCTGACTGCCATGACCCTGCAAGTGATGAGCGTGACCTCTTCCTGTGCAGCTGTTTGTGGCGACGTGGACTTCTGTATGGTGTGTGCCTAGAGACAGGCTGCGTTGACAGCCCACCCAGGCTCTCCAAGGAGGGCCCAGCCTGCAGATTGCGGGCTTTCGCGAGCAATGTCGACAAGGAGGGCGGGACAGCTGCTGGGACCAAGGAGGGTGACTGCCACCCCACGATCCGCGGCGGCCCTTCTGCTGCAGAAGTCGAGGAGGCTTTCCTGGACAATGCAAGGAAGTGCCCTGACCTGGAGGTTGTTGCCGGTGCTTTTGCTAGGAGCAGCCTTGGTGTCAGGACGGGGCAAGGCTTGACGACGATGGACCTCACAGGCCCTGATCGAGCTGCGGAAGACAGCGAAGGTGGCGGCCAGTTCTTCTACCCAGCCCCGGGGATTCTGCAGGACCACTCCAACAAGCCCGTGACCGTGTTTCAGGACAACCTCTTCTTGAAACGAGATGGTCGCGACAAGGAGTGCCAACCTGCATGCAGTGATGACAGAGGTGACCAGTTACTCATCAGGAGCGACATGATTCAAGACAGCAGCCACCATGTAGGCATAGCAAGTGTGACTGATTTCAAGACTCAGAACAAGACCCGCAAAGGGCAAAGAAGTGAGCTTACGGCCAGCCCCATCCCCTGTGAAAACTGGTCGAAACAAGAAAATGAAGAGCCCGAGGCCACTCCCGAGCCCTAACCCGCCACCGGCCCGTTCTGGGCCCCCCTCTGGTAGCTTCGACTGTTGCCATGGCAAGCGGCGGAATGGACTCGGCGGCCAGAGCTTTATCGACTTCGGTGACGGTGTTGAGGACTCGAGATGGGATCGCAAAACGATGATCGTCTGGGAGGACAACCAAGATGCAGGCAGTCACGCACTGCAGGAATATGACGCAACCGACCGAGCATGCTGTGCCACAACTAGCGGTGCCGACGGGGTTCCCCTCTTCTCTTTCGGGTCTAGGCCTCATGATCCCCCTAGTGGGTACCCGTGCTGTGCTGCCGCCGCCCCTGCTGCCCCCGTTTAGGTCCTTCCCTTCCCTAGGTGGGCTTCTTTCTCGAGGGCTGCTGTGTGAGGACATCACAGCCGCCAGTGACCAGTGCTTTGACTTCTCGATCAGGTCGTGCCCAGGCTTGGTCGGTGAAGCGGCCAGTTTCAACGAGGAGAGACTGCTTTGCACGATTGATGGTCGAGGTCGGTCGAAAGACCCTAGAATATCCATTGAGAGTGCGGGCTGGTTTGTGCATTGTGACCAGTTTGCTGAAAGTGACCGACATAGGCAGCATACAGGGTTGCAGGGCACGGAGGGTTCAGGTAGATCGCAAGATCCAAGCATATCCCTTAGTATCGCTTGCTTTCCTTGGAGCGCCGAATCCACTGCTGCCCTTTGCTGCGACGACACCGCTTCGCGCTTTAATTCTGACCAATTGTGGCTGCATACTGCGCTGTCAACTGGTACTGTGGGTCCAAGCAGGTCGCAAGATCCGAGTATATCCCGAGGTACCAAGACTGTTGCCAGGAGCGCTGAACATCATGCACATGTTTATGCTGAAATTTTTCGACCTGAGGCCAGGAGACCTGACCTCCGGAGACCGAGCATCGAGCCCAGCGCTACCCAGGACCCGGGAATTCTTGATTGCATCTTTGAGGTTGCCATGTGGGTCGGGTGTGCACTGCCCTTGGCCTGTATCCCTCGGCTGCAATCTTGTTGGTCGCCTTTCGTGGGGGTGCGTGTCGGTGAAGCGAGCAATCCAGGACCTAAGGGATCCGAGGGTAAGAGCGGCTTCAATCTTGATATTGGCAGTCTCTTGGGGCCCGATTTCGCCTCGAACATCCGTGCTTTCATCGAGGCTGCAGTGCAAAAGGCCATCAAGGAAGCCCTGCAGGGCCTCTCGCTTGGAGACCGGCAAGGATCGGAGATTGAACAGCCTGGGCCGAAACGGCGCAAGCGTCAGCATGGCAAAGCGTCCGACGCACCCGCTGGGGAGGATTCTTCCGTTGACTCCGGCGCCCATGCCACCCAGCCTGACAGAAGCTCGCCAGATGCCAAAGGCAAGGCCAAAGGCGCCAAAGGCGGCGCAAAAGGCCCTGGCAATGGTCCATCGCCGGGCACTGTCGGCAAAGGTCGTGGCAAGGAAGGTGGCAAGCCCACTGAGGTAGGAAACAGCCGTGGCAAAGGAGATGGCGCCAAAGGCAAAGGCCAACCAAAAGCAGCCGAAGCGCAGCCAACCGATGAATGGCAGACCGTCGACCGCAGAAAACCGCAGGCGTCGTGGAGCTTTCGGTCCTCGGATTGGACGGCTCAGGCTGTAAACTTCGATGCTGTAGCAGATGAGCTGGAAAAAACCACTGGCGTTTACAAAGCTGTCGTACTTTGTGGGCCAGGGCAGGCCGACCTCTTGGCAACTCTGCTTCTTGGATCAAAGCGACCTCATGGGGTCGTTGCGGTCACTCCTGATCACCCTGATGCCTCAGCTCGCTGTCCTGGTGCCATAGGGAACAGCTGTGTGTTCAAGCAGGTCCATTTCCATCACATCAGCACGGCTGGAATTGAACTGCCGGGCCCAAAGGTAGCTGCTGCCAGGGCTAAAAAAGTCCTGCCGGCGAAAACAGCAGTCTTGTATGTGAGGATTTATAAGAGGTATGTTTCCAAGGCCACCTGGAAAGATGTGATAGCAAGTCCCCAGAGAGCTTTCCACACTTGGGTTGCACAGCAACATATGAAAGTGCAGGACAGTTGGGGCTGGGCCAAGGAGCAAGCGCAGGGGGAAGATCATAAGGTTTACGCCCTTTTTAGAGTCCCCGAGGCCGACGTTACAGCCTTCGTTGCATTGAGTGGGAGGGACGGCATCTTTATCGACCCACCGAGATGGATATCTTTCCCTTCATTTGTTGTGCAGTGGGCTGAGAAAGAGCCCAAGGAAAGTGATCTTGACTTCCTGCAACGGGTCCGGACAGTCGAAGCCCCTTATGGCATCATAGTCGGACGGAGGGGTTTGGGGAAACGTGTTGCTAGGGATGCTAATCAGGCCATCACCAGGATGTGGATGCTTGAGCATGCACCTTTCGACTGGAGTGCGGCCCAGGCTCTCGAGGCTGTATCGAGCATCTTCGCAGAAGTGACCATGACTCGCCAGCAGCGCACACGTAAGGGAATAAACTTCTTTTTCAAAGCTGCTCACACCACTGATCACGATGTCGTTGCCCTTCCCTTTGATGATGGGGACCAGACTGAAATCATGTGGTGCAGATGGGCGCCGGTCCGTGCAAGACCCCAAGCCCAAACCATCAGAACGAATGGCTCCTGGTCGCTGTTGCCTCCGCGTGACCCCTTTGGGGAAACCACCAAGGTTGCACAAGTTGTTCATCCGGAAGAGGACGAAAATCAGCAGGATGATGACGCTGCCATGAAATCGGCCAACTCAAAGGAGGCTGCTCAGGACGCTAAAGAGGCTAACGATGAGAAAGAGGCAAAGCGGGGCTCCCCGAGCAAAAGCACGAGCACTGCAAAACGCA